CCCCCCCCCCCCCCCCCGGGATGTGCCCGAGGCCCCGGGGGCTCCCGCTTTTTCCTCCTGTCCTTCCTCTTCCTCGCTCCTCTGCTGAGCTTTCGTCTTTGTCCTTTCCATATCTTTGATGCCATAATGGGGGATGAGAAGGGCAATTCGTTCACCCAGTGCAGTGAGACCCCTCCCATTCCCCCCATCCCCAGGTCCTGGGGGTGCGACGCTGCCCGGAGCATCTCCCTAACAGAGCTGGCATCGCTGTGTTTTTGGAGAGATGGCTTAATTGCTGTCCAGGATCCCCTTGCTGGGGGCACAGAGGGGTTGGTGGGGGCACCCCGCGTTGTCACATCATCCCCAGCACCGCCCGGAGCGCTGCGGTGCGAGGAGGAAGGAAGGAAGAGGCTGGGATGAGGGAGAGGAGGAAGCGGGGGTTGGGATGCCCCCTCCGGGGCGGGGCGGAAGGGCGCGCAGGAGGGGGGGGGGGGGGTAGAAAAAAAAAATAAAATAAAATGAAAGGGAAAGTGCACGTGAAGCAAAACTTGGGATTGGGGGGGGGAGGAAACGGGGGGGCAGCGTGGGGCTGGGCGCTGAGCGCTGCCAGCAGCTGGAGCCGGAGCCGGAGCCTCCCCCTACGTTGTCGTGGGGGCCCCCCCCCCCCCACTCCAGGCCCCCGCCCTACGAGCCAGCAGCGCTCGGCAGCGGGACGGAGCGCGGCCCCGCACGATGGTGGAGGAGGGCGGAGGGCAGCGGGGGCTCCGCAGGGCGGCACGGGGACCCCCCCCAACCCCAAACCCCGTAGCGGTGGTGAGCAAAGCTTTATGGAGCGTGGAACGATCCGGGAAGGGCTGGGGCTACGAACGCGCCGTCGGGGTGGATTGCAGCTCACCAGAACCGCGCTGCATTTGGCTGAGCAGCCTTAGGAGGTGTGCGGCCGGAACCCCCCCCCGCCGCCCCCCCGGAGCACCGCACGGCCCCGCGGCCCCACGCACCGCCAGAGGCCATCGGGTGAGCACCGTGGGGTAGAGGGAGGGGTGGGCTTGGCCTTGTGTGCCCCACATGCTGTCCTGTGGTGCATGGCCCCGGGGGAAGGGGGGGGTGGGCGTGTTGTGCCCCCCAGGAGGGCTCAGTGGGGTGTGGGACGTCTGTGGCAGCTGCCTGTCCCCAAGGGGGGAGTGCTGGGAGTGAGGGTGTAGAGTTGGGGTGGGCAGCACGGATTCACCCCCCTCCCCCCTGCATCCCTGTGCTTTGGGTTTGGAGAGGGGGGGGCCCAGCTGATTGGAGCCCAGCGGAAGGCTCGGGGCTGTGGATCAAAGCAAATCCCAAAGTGTGGGGACAGCACGAATCCCTGCTGGGAGAGGGGACCCGTGGCTGAGATGACAGATCTGCGGGTGACGCGTCCAAGTGTGCGGTTGAGGCTTCGCAGCCCCAAAAGCTTCAGGCTGGGGAAGGAGGAGGTGGCGGTGATAAGGGCTGGTTGCAGCACGGTGGGCTGCGTGGGGAGTGGGGAGCTGAGGGGCTGGGGGTTCTCCTGGGGTGAAGCGAGCACGATGTGCTCCCACCCCATGTTCCCATCCTTGGCAGCAGGGCCAGAGGCTGCGTCCCCACAGGGCTGTCCCCAAGCAAATGTGGGACGTGGGGACGGAAGCAGCGCAGACAGAGCAGCCCAGGGGGGCTGTTTGCAATGCAGCGCATCTCCTGCGGCTCTTTTGCAATGGTGAATGCGGGCTGGTGGGACTGGAGCTGGGTGATGGGCTGCAGCTGCAGCGTCTCGTTGCATGGGATCCATGCGCTCTGCACAGTGGGTTTGTGGGGGCTGCAGGGGGGAACCCCCTTCTGTCCTCCCTGCTGTCCTTCCAGGTGATGTGCCAGGATGCTATTGGGGAGGGGGGGGGGGGCGGGGCGCATTGGGGGGCGCCCCCCCGGGGGGTCACCGAGCAGCTGCTGCTGGCGCTAAGTGCTCTGTAATGGGCAAACAGTGCCGGTGATGCATCCCTGTGTCATGGGCACAGCAGCTCTGCCACAGCTGTGACACGGGGCCGTGTGTCCCCATGGCAGTGGGTCGGTGCTGCCGTCGGTGTCTGCTCAGAGTGCTGTCTGTGCTGCTTACCATCAGCGGGGCACATTCAGCTGTCAGCTTAAAAATAATCCAGCGTGCCGGCGGCCGACACAATGGAGGGCGCAGATGGGGACGGGCATCCTTGGGTGGGGGGTTGTGGGCAGCCTGGGGTCCCTGTGGCAACGGGGCACCCGCTGCTGTCAAAAGTTGGGTGTCTCTGTGGTGCAGGGAGGGCTCGGGGTCCTGGGGGGAGGGGGGGGGTAGGGCTGGGGTTGTGGCTTTGCTGTGGTTTCAGGCTCTCCCCATTGGAGCATCGCAGCTCTTTGCTTCTTGGGGCGTCCCCAGGTGCTCCCTGTGTCGTTGGGATCGGAGCACACGGGGCTGCTGCTACTGGAGGACATAAGAGCTCTTTGGTGGAGGTTTTGGGGCTGCCCCCCTTTCCCCATCAAGAGGGACCCCCAGCCCCACAAAACCGCACCGAGCGTGGGGTGCAGGGATCCCCATTTACCCACCAGCAGCAAAAAAGGCCGTGCTCAGCACAGGCAGAGACAAAGGCTTTTTGTGCCTCGGCCCTTTGTGTCCCTCTTCCCTCCCCGCCTGGCTTCTGCCTCATCTCTCCCCATTCATCACCTCAGCACCAGGATGCAGAGTCTGAATTGGAGCACCATGGGGGGGGGGGGGGGGGGGGGGGGGGAAACCCCACATGCAGTGCAGTGCTGTGGTGTGAGCGGGGCTGGCAGGGAAGGAGCCCAATTCGAGGGCATCACTCACTGCTCCTGGAGCGCGGTCTGCTCCTCGTTGCTGCACGGGGGATGCATAGCAGAGCCCTGTGCATCCAGATGTGCCATAAGCAGCCAGATGTGCAGCCTCAAAATGCGGAGATTTCCCTGCTGCAAAGCCAAACTTTCTGCCCCACTGCCCCCACTGTGGCTGTGCCGCCCCCCTACGCTCAGCTTACATCTCCATTCTTTGCCATGCCACCCGTGCCCTCCTTGGTTGTCTCACTGGCACAACCCCACATGTTGCATTCCCTGCTTTCTGCACTCATCCCCCCCCCGCTGTCCCCTTCCAGGTCTCATCCATACCCCAAAATCATTCCAGCCCCCCCTGTTTATTTTCCCTTCTCCCACAGCATCCCTTTGGGAGAGTGGGGAGGGTGGGGGGGCTTTGGGTGCTGCCATTCATGCAGCGGGGCTGCATGATGGGATCCATGCGATCAGCAATCGCAAATGATTGATCAGCAATCAGGCAAATCAGGAGGGGTTTTCTTAGGGGCACGGTGTGACATCTGCCCCTGAATGTGACATCTCCCCATTGTCCCCATAGCCGACGCCGGGCCGCAGAGATGGGGCGTCCCCAAATGACAACGCGCCCCTGGAGGGGGCCTTTCCTTGGGGGGGCCCGAAGACGGTGGTGCTGCGGAAGAGCACCCAGGGAGGGGGGTTTGGCTTCACCCTCCGCCACTTCATCGTTTACCCCCCCGAGTCGGCGGTGCATTCCCCCTCCAAGGTAAGGACTGGAGGGGTCGGGACCCCCAGCTCGGAGGGGCTGCTGCTGGAGGTTGCTTTTGGGTTATCTGGGTGGTGGTGGGGGGTCTGGGGAGCCATAGGGCGGCGCATCCATCTCCCACCTTGTCTGGGGGTCCCCACACGTGGGGGGTGAGCCTCCAGTGCCCCTTTGGGATGAGCCCATGTTACACTGTGCTGTCCCACACCCCTCACGTGGGCAGGGAGGGAGGATGCAGCCCCAGAGCACAGGAGGAGGCGGTTTGGAGGATGCTGGATGCGGGTTGTGGAGACGCAGCGCTCTGACAGGACCTGTGGGCACTGGGAACGGCTGAAACACAGCACAAGGATGGGCTCAGGGCTGTGCTTTGCTGCTGGAGGTGTTGGCATGGCTCTGCCCCAGGTTCACTGCAGCCCCAGGGGGGTTCTCAGCTCCTCTGCGCCCTCGGAGCCACTGGATGGGAGAAGCTGTTCCCACTGCAAGCCCACTTTTGGTCCCATCCTTTGGTTCCCTCGTGCTGGGAGCACAAGGATGGGGACGTCACCTCACTGCCTGGGCTGGGCAGCAGGCAGTGCCTTCACCTCCAGGTGGGCTTTGAGCATCCATCGCCACCCAGCAGCACATGGGGATGGATGTGGGGGGATCCCCCCAAAACCAGTGGCTGATTCCAGGAGCAGGAGGTGACCTCCCAGCCCTGTGCAAGGCGCAGGAAGGCGCATCTGGCAATCTTTGGTGCTCATTGCAGTCATGGAAACGTGGTGGGAAATGAATCACCGGGTGGGGAGCAGCGATTCGTGGCTGCCCCCACTGCTGAGCTGCTGTCTGTGTGCACGGCAGCGCTTTTCCCAGGGTCTTAATTCTGCTCCCACAGACTCTTCCTGCACAAACTGGGGCTCTGATAGCCGAGGGAGCCAAAGGCACGGCCTGACCCTGCTGCTGTCCCATGTCACGGCCATTGAGCCCCAGCAGGACGAAGCCACGTTGGCGCAGTGGGGCTGGGAGGTGGTGTGGATGCTTTTGGGTTGAGCTGAAGCCGGCGCTCCCAGCCAGCCGTGCAGGGTGTGACTGCTGCAGCACCCATGGGTGCCCGGGGCGGTGAGGTGCCAGCTCTGGGGGCTGAGTTTCGGTGATGCTGACTCAACACCATGGGGGTGGCAGCTCCGCATTCCTGGCGCTCCGGCACCGCCGTGCCTGATGTCAGCATCTTTCTGGGGAGCGGGGCAGCCCAGGGCTGGGCTGGGAGAGTCTGTGCCTCGAGGGACCCTCAGTGGCACCACAGGGCAGCTCGGTGCTCTGGCAGTTGCACAACTGGTGTGCTAAGTGCTGGGTGTGCAGCTTCCCTCTGTGCGATGGGGAAATGCCTCCAGCCCCCGCTCCGCACTGGGACCATCCCAGGTGGAGATCTGTCCGTTCCCAGTGCCTCGTGAGGAGGGCACTGTTTGCCCTGCCTTCACCAGAGCTCTGTCCCAGTTTGGAGCTGGCAGAGCTGAGCTGTTGCCATCCATCAGAGGTGGCACAGTTGGGCACTTATGGGGTGAGAAATCACTGGGTGGGGGGCACCAGCCCCTTCCCAGCAGCGTAGTGTTGAACCCCACTCCCAGTATGGCCAGATCCAGTGCCACAAGTTAATTTTACCCTGACTGTGCATCCCTGGGGTGGTAGAGGGACAGATGGAGGGACAGACGGGTGGACATGCAGATCCATGAGGGGCTCCATCGGGCACAGCTGAGCAGTCCCAGCCTCTTTGCCCCCATCTTGTCCCCTTCTGGTCCCCCGCAAAAAGTTTTGGCCCAAACTGCCAAATCACTGCTTTTCTTTTCTCTTGACAGGAAGAGGAGAATGGGAACCGGGCAGGTGAGCACCGAGCTGTGGGCACCCAGGGTTGGGGGTGGTGTGGGGCAGAGCAGGAGCTGCGTTGTGGGGTGGCACAGCACTCAGTGGCAGCGTGGGGAAGAGCAAGCAGGTGTCTCTGCATCCCTCCGATGGGGGTCTTCGGGTGCTGTGCCATAGGGGATATCCCAGAGGGTCGTGGCTGGGCTGTGGTGTGGGTCGGTGCTCGGGGACGGGGCCGTGTCCTCACTGTGCTGCAGCCAGCAGTGATGGGAATGAATGTGAAGGCGTCAGAACGCATTGCTGAGCTGCTGGGCTGATGAGGCACTGTAGGGCTGGGAGGGCTGTGGGGTGGCGAGACCCAGTGCTGGGTGCCCCTGGGGACGGGGTGGGGGGTGGGGAATTCCCTAGGGAATTCAGCAGTGCCACGTTGGCGCTGCGTCCCCCCTGCAAGCCTGCCAGCACCAACCTGAACCGGGGAGGAGGGGGGGGGAAGGTGCAGCGAGGGATGTTTTCTGTCTTTGCAAAGGATGGGGAGGAGTTGTGGCTGCTTTGGTGGCATGCAGAAGCACAGCAGCGTGTGAGGAGCGTGCATGGGGGGTGTGCATGGGGTGTGCATGGGGTGTGCACAGCACTGTGCCTGGTGCACGCATGGGGCGCACATGGCGTGCATGGCACCACGTGCTCCTGGCCTGCTGCTTGCAGGACCCAGCCGTGCTGAGGGCTCTCTGACAGCCTGTCCCTCTGGTTCAGGTCCCCCCCGGAGCCGCCTGGAGCCCATGGACACCATCTTTGTGAAGAATGTAAAGGAGGACGGCCCGGCGCACCAGGCAGGGCTGCGCACTGGTGAGCGGCACGGAGAGGTGGCAGAGGGTTGGGGTTGGGGGGACTGCACCACTCCCTGCCCCTCCTCCCTGCAGATGTGGGCCTGTTTTGGTTCCTTTCATGCATTCTCTGCCGATTTTCCCATTTTCACCCCTGTGTGGGGATGCCTGTAACAGCATCGGTGTCACACGGGACAAGGTTCTGCTCCCAGCCCTGCTATGAGGGGACAGCCAGGTGTCACCACCCAGCACTTGCTGGAGGGTTGGAGGTGACTCTGTCTCCTTCCACCCCACAGGGGATCGGCTGGTCAAGGTGAATGGGGACAGCATCATAGGGAAAACCTACTCGCAGGTCATCGCTCTCATCCAGAACAGGTGAGTCCCTGCTGCACTGAGGCCGTGACTTGTGGGGATGGGGACATTTGTCCCCTCCTGGGATGAGGACGCTGTCACTGCTCTGGGGAGCTGGGGGAGATGCTGTGGGGATGCAGCCATGGGTGCCATATCCCTTCCTGACCCCTGTCTCTCCACAGTGACAATGTGCTGGAGCTCTCCATCATGCCCAAAGATGAGGACATCCTCCAGCTGGTGAGTCTTGCTGCCTTGCTGTGACGGCCCCAAACCCCCTCCCCCGGTCCTGGGGGTCCTGGGGGCACCAGTGCTGCATTGAGTGCAGACCTTACAGCCAGGCAGTGGGATTCCTCGTGCTGTTTGTTGGCTGGGGGCTCTTCTGCTGGCATCCCCACTGCTGTCCTCGTGCATCAAAGGGGGCGGGGGGGGGGGTCTGGCGCCCTGCTGGGGGGGTTCCACATCTGTGCCCACCCAAACCTCAGGCCCTGAGGTTTCCCCAGGGCGTGGAGTCAGAGGTGTGCATGAAAAGTGAGAAAGGAAAGGCAGGATGGGCTGGTGCTGCATCTGGGGGTGTTTTGGGAAGGAGAAAGGTGTGCAGGGAGGGAGGCAGCAATGTGTGGCTGTGGGGAGAGCGGAAGGGGGTGGGACAGCTGTGCTGGGGGCTGCAGGAGACCCCAGGGTGGGAGTGGGATGTCGTGGCTGCGCCCCCCAGCCCGACTCCTCCCCCCAACCCCCCATTTCCACAGGCCTATTCACAGGATGCCTACCTGAAGGGCAACGAGCCGTACTCCGGTGGGGCACAGAGCATCCCCGAGCCGCCCCCCATCTGCTACCCACGCAAGACTTACCCCTTCCAGGCACGGGGCTCTGAGCCCCCCCCGGGCGCACCGCCGGACCCCCGCTCCCACCACCCCGCCGGCCCCTCGTCCCCGCACAGCACCGCCTACAGCAAAGCAGGGGGCAGCCCCGCACACCGCCCGGAGGATCCACGCGCCGGGGGTCCCCCGCATCACCCCGCAGCTCCCCACGGCCGCCGCAGCGGCTGCCCCGAGCGCTACGGCGTTTTGCCCGCCGCCCCTTCCGGCTACGGGACCCCGAAGCACGTGGCGGAGCACCGGACTCAATGCGGCCCCCGGGAGGGCAGCGCCGTGCGGCCGCCGGGTCGCCAGGAGTGCCAGCGGGCGCTGTCGCGATGGTTTTGCAGCCAGGAGCCGCGGCGCAGCGCCTCGGAGGAGCGCCGGCACGCCATGCCGCCCCGATCCCGCAGCGTGTCCCAGGAGAGGTTGGGGGGCTCGGCGCACCGCCGGGGTTGGCCCCATAGCGCATCGCACGATACCCTCCTGCAGCCCAACCGCGAGGCGTGGGCGCAGCACCGGGCGCGCTCCGAGCACCAGCTGGGCAGATGCGGGCGTTCCATGGAGGCTCTGGAACCCGCAGCTCTGCTCTCCCCGCGCCTCGACCGCTCCGCGTGGCATCCCGAGAGGCTCTGCAGAGCTACGGCCGCGGCGCAGCCCGGCGTGCACGGCTCCTTCGTGCCCTCCTCCTCCTCCTCCTCCTCCTCCCCCCCCCCGCGGGACCCGGCGGTGCAGAAGCACCCGTCGCAGCCCAACCTGCAGAGCGTGGACGATTCGGGTTACATCGGCTACCGCAGCTACAGCCCGTCCTTCCAGCGCCGCACGGGGCTGCTGCACGCCCTGTCCTTCCGCGACCCGACCTTCGGCGGGCTGCCCACCTTCAGCATCGCGCACACAGCGGCCCCCGCCGCCCCTCCACCGCCCCCCGAAGCCCCCCGGGAGCAGCGCACGGAGAGCGGCCGTGCGGAGGAGCGACGCGAGGAGGTGGTGCTGCGGCAGAAGCCCCCCACGGGCCGCAAGGTGCAGCCCCCGCTGCGGCAGATGAACTTTGTGTTCGCTGGGAGGGGGAAGGAGGCGGACATTTGTGACCCCCCCGCAGCCAGCAGCAGGGAAGAGAGGTCTGTGAGCGAGCACGCGGGCCGCCGTGTGGCCCCGTTAGCAGCCCCCGAGGACTCGCTGGCATCCATCCCCTTCATTGGTGAGTGGAGTCAGTGCTGGGGTGGGCGATGCGATGGGTGCTGTGGTGGGGAGGGCACCCACGTGGGGCTGCCCCCTCTTCCGTGGTGCTGCTCCCCCAGGGTGGGTGCAGCGGGGGCTCTTGGCTTTGCTGGGGCTGCAGAGGCATGAGAAGAGTCGAGCACTGCTTTCTGCCCTCCTGTGACCCTCCTGCCCCGTCCCACAGACGAGCCCACCAGCCCCAGCATCGACCTGAAGGCCAAGCACATCCCTGCCTCCTCCGTTGTCTCCAGTGCCATGAACTCGGCGCCCGCCGTGGCCACCAGCCCCTCCTCCTCACCCACCTTCGCCTTCGCCCTGAGCCGGCACTACTCACAGGACTGCAGTGAGTGGGGCTGGGGGGGGACAGGGGGAAGCAGCCCCCGCAGCTGGAGTTGGGTGGCATAGGGATGAGGAGCTCAGCAGGAGAAGGGCTGCGGTTCTGCCCCTCTGTTTGGCACCACGCTGAGCCCCGCAGAGCCCCATGGCCACGTGCTGTGCCCTCCTCCCCCCACAGGCAGCATCAAGGCCGGCCGCCGCTCCTCCTACCTGCTGGCCATCACCACCGAGCGCTCCAAGTCGTGTGATGATGGGCTGAACACATTTAGGGATGAGGGGAAGATCCTCAGGTAGGGCCGATATGGGCACCACGCAGCCCCCTGCCCCCTCCCTGCCGTGCCCCCCTGCTCACAGGGCTGCTTTCCCACAGGAGGATGCCCAGCCGGGTCCCCAGCCTCCGCATGCTGAGGAGCTTCTTCACCGATGGGGTGAGCGCTGGGGGGGTACCAGGAAGATCCGTGGGATGGGGGGGACAGTGCCAGCCTTGCAGTCTCTGGGTGGCACCTGGGGGTACCAAGGCTGTGCCTCCATGGGGTGGTGGGAGTGATGCCAGCTCCTTGTGGCCCCACGTGCGCCGTCACCCCGCAATCTCTGGGTGACCGCTGGAGGGTTGGGGGCACCAGTTGGACCCGTGGGGCGGTGGGGTGATGGCAAACCCCCCCGTGACCCTACGTGCCGTGTCACCCCCCAGTCTCTGGACAGCCTCGGTACGTCTGAAGACACCCGCTCCAAACGGCACTCCACCTCTGACCTGTCGGACGTCACGTTCAGCGACGTCAGGAAGGAGGGCTGGCTGCACTACAAGCAGATCCTCACCAAAAAGGGGAAGGTGCGGCACGGGGGGAGGGGGAAAGGGGGGTCCCCAGCTTGGCCGGCAATGCGTGAGCCTCAGAGCCGTGACTCCCGGCCCTTCCTCCCTGCAGAAAGTTGGCGGAGGCCTCCGGCAGTGGAAGCGCGTCTTCGCGGTGCTGCGCACCCACTCGCTGTACCTGTGCAAGGACAGGCGGGAGGCGGTGAGCTGCGGCCCGGCCCCAGGTGAGGAGGAGCAGCCGATCAGCATCCGAGCGTGCCTGGTGGACATCTCCTACAGCGAGACCAAGAGGAAGCACGTCTTCCGCCTGACGACCGCTGACTTCTGTGAATATCTCTTTCAGGCAGAGGATCGGGAAGACATGCTGGCCTGGATCAAAGTCATCAGGGAGAACAGCAAGGCCGAGGGCGAGGTGAGAGCCACACGGCGCTCCCGGCTGCCTCTGGCTCTCCCGGCGCTAACGCCTCGGCTCTCTCCGGCTCTTTGCCTTGTGCTGCTTCCCCTGGCTGCGGCCAGCTGTGCTCCCAGGGCTCCAAGAAGAGCGCGGCTCAGCTCGGCCGGGCGGCGCATCGCGTGGTGCGGCTCTCGGAGCATCGCGGTGGCTCAGCCAGGGTTCCGTGCCGGAGCGGCGGTGTTTGGTCGTGCTGTGGTTGAGGAGCCTGCGTGGCTCAGTTGGAACCCCGGTGCTTTGGTACTGTGGGGTGCGTTGGCACCGTGGGGCTCGTTGGCCCGTGGGTGAGATGTGGAGCTCTCTGCCTATGCTGGATGCGGCCCCGCTGTGCTGCCCACTCTTGGGGCAAGTGTGGGGTCAGTGCAGAGCTCTTGCTGGGCGTTTGTGGTCCGTGCAATGATTGCTTGGGTCAGAGAGGAGCCACCGGCTGCACCAGAGGGCTGGACAGGGTGGATGTGCCGTTGCTGAGCTGGTTGTGCCGATGCTGAGCTGGTTGTGCAGGCACTGGGCTGGTGTGCACTGTGTCCCCACGGTGCCAGGATGGCACGGATTTGGTCTCAGGATTTGTGCTTGGTTGTGGCAGGCTGTGACTCTGGAGGGCGCATGGAGCTCAGGGCAGTGTCTGTTTTGCCGCAGCACAGCCCCGTTTGGAGGGCATGGAGCTGGCGGGGCTGGGTTGGAGCACACGGAGCACATGGAACTGTGTGGGTGCCCGCTGGGGCCGCAGTGCCACCAGGCAGGAGGAGAACGGAGCGTGTCTTGGAGTGCTGTAGGGCGCAGTGTGTGCGTCTGGTCCTGGCAGATGGAGGTGCAGGGATGGAAGGGTCCTTGAGCCTTAGCTGATGGCTCGGACCCCGCGCGTGGTGCGCCATGGTGAGGAGCACCGCAGACCTCGGCATGGTGCTGGGTGCCACTGTGGGGCACGGGGCCCCGGTGCTGTGCTCAGCCCAGCTCAGGGCTGGCAGGAACCCTCCTGGTGAGGAGTGCCAGAGGTGGCCGTGGGCTTTTGTGGCTCCCGGCAGAGCGTGGTGCCTGGTGCCTGCAGAGAACGCGCTGCTCAAGCTTCCCCTTCCCCTCTTCTCTCTGCTCCCCAGGACCCCGGTTTTGCCAGCCAAGCACTTATCAACAAGAAGCTCAACGACTATCGGAAAGTGAGGTACGCACCTGGTGCTGTGGGGCACCTGATTGCCCCAGTGAGCGGTGGCACCGTGCTCCCGGAGCTCTTTATTCACCCGAATTTCCAAGTGATGGAGCAAAAGCAGTGCATCCTGTAGCGGGGTGGCACCCAGCTGCTCCTGGCTCTGGTTGGGGTGCAGGAAGGGCCCCATTCAGTCAAGCTGGCACAGAGCAGAGGGCGAAGCCGGCTCAGAGCTCTCTGGGTGCTGGCACGGTTGCTCAGCCCTTGTTATCCCTGAAAACACAGCGCTGCCCTATGGGGTCAGTGCTGAGGGCAGGAAGGGCCCCATGAGCACACACAGAGCCGGGGCAGGATGCTAGGTCAGGGTTTGCAGGGCAGATTTTGGGGACCCACCTACAGTGCTCAGCCCCGCCATGCCCCCTGACCCCGCTCTCCCTGCAGCCCGGCGGGTGCCAAGCCCGACTCCTCACCCAAGGGCTCCCGTGGGCTGGGGATCAGAGCCGAGTTCCTGAAGCAGACGGGAACCAGTGCACCCCGGTCCCCGAGGCAGGATGCGGCCGTCACCAAAGGTAAATCCCCCCCCCCTGCAGTATGCAGAGCCCAGGCACGGCAGAGCCTCACGGGATGCCGGCGTGCGGCAGGGATGCTCTTGCTGATGGTCCATATAGCTAAAAGTTCTGTGGTTTGTTGGTTTTTTTTTCCTGCCAGATGAAAGCAGCTCCCAAAAAGCCCCTTGGGGCATCAACATCATGAAGAAGAACAAGAAATCTGCCCCTCGAGCCTTTGGTGTGAGGCTGGAAGACTGCCAGCCCGCCCCAGATAACAAGGTACGGTGTGTGTGTGTGTGTGTGGGGGGGGGGACAGACCCAGGGCTCCCATCCAGCCCCGGCACCTCCATCACCTCATGTGTCCCCCCCCAGAACATCCCTCTGATCGTCGAAGCCTGCTGCAAGGTGGTGGAGGACCGTGGCCTGGAGTACATGGGCATCTACCGTGTGCCTGGGAACAATGCTGTGGTGTCCAGCCTGCAGGAGCAGCTTAACAAGGGAGCCACTGAGATCAACCTGCAGGATGAGGTGTGTGTCCCCATCCCTGTCCTGGTGTCTCTGAAGTGCTCCTAGGGCTGTTGTCCTGGTCCCCATCTCCATCACGATCCCCGTCTCCATCACGATCCCCATCTCCATCACGGTCTCCATCTCCAATCACGGCCCTCAGCTCCCATCATGGTCCCCATTACAGTCCTCATCCTCATGGCAGGACCTTCCCTGGGCTGGCAGGGCCTCCTGGTGGCCGATGGCAGCAGAGTGGGTGGCGGTTTGGGGACACGTTTGTCACTTGGCACCTCACACCTCCCCACAGCGCTGCGGTGGCATTGGGCTTCCCCTGCTGGCACTGGCGGGTGTCCCTCTTGGTGTTGGTCACCAGGGTTGGGGACTTCATCCCTCTGGCGTTGGGATTTGAGCATCCTCCTCTCTCCCCACAGCGCTGGCAGGACCTGAACGTCATCAGCAGTCTGTTAAAATCCTTCTTCCGAAAGCTGCCTGAGCCCCTCTTCACCGACGGTGAGTCCTTCCCCTGCACCTCCATGCCCCATCCTGCTGGGACCCCCCCCCGACCCCCTCACCCCCCTCAGCCTCCCCTGCTCCTCTACCCCAGCCCTGAGCCCCCTGTGTCCCTTTCAGATAAATACAACGATTTCATCGAGGCCAACCGGATAGAGGATGCCAGTGAGAGGATGAGGACGCTGCGGAAGCTGGTAGGGAGATGGGGGCAGGCTGGGGGGGGGCGTGGGCTGCCTGGGGGGCGGGCGGAGGGGTGACCCAATGCCTCCCACAGATCCGGGATCTGCCAGGGCACTACTATGAGACGCTCAAGTTTCTGGTGGGTCACCTGAAGACCATCGCTGACCACTCGGAGAAGAACAAGGTAATGGGGCTGAGCTGCACCCCGCGTGGGGCGGGGAGGGATGGGGCAGCCGATGGGACAACTCACCGACCCCGGGCTCTGGTTGTAGATGGAACCCCGAAACCTGGCGTTGGTGTTTGGTCCCACGCTGGTGAGGACGTCTGAGGACAACATGACAGACATGGTGACGCACATGCCCGACCGCTACAAAATCGTGGAGACCCTCATCCAGCACGTAGGTGGAGCCACCCTATGGGCAGCGTGGGGGTCCTGCTGCACCCCTGGGGTGGCCACGC